CAGTAAATGATTCTGTATCATATTACTAATCCTGTGATTATGTGTATCTTCCCTGGCAATCATCATAAGACATTAAAAAAATGAATAATTTTGCTTTAAAATTAGTGCTCATAATCAATAGCATTCAACATACTAAGTAACATTCATTAAATAAACCCGATCAGTGGAGGGCAACTAGATGTGAGTTGAAGGCTTATATATGGGTTGAGTTAAAAGGACATGTTTTTGGTTTGTTTCTTTTGGAAACGTCTGCATAAATATTCATTGTTCCTTTCCTCCTTTATGCTCAGACACTGATCTTTCCAGTTGTTACATACCCGTTTGGATTGAGGGGGCCTGGTCGTGTAATATTAATTTAAATTCAGAATCTCTTTGGAATGGCTGATCCACATCGTGACTGAAGGAATCCTGGGCCACTTGGATATTTTACACCTAATCTCTGCCCCATCAGATCATCATAGTACCCCTAAGAACCTATCAGAGTGAATTAAATCAGTTCTCCAGAGTGACCGTGAAATGTATGAAGACATTCATACATTTAGATATTCGTACATTTCAGAAGATAGCAGTAAAATGGTTTTTAGGTCACTGTTCTGGAATCCAGTGACTACCATTTGATTTGTGAGAGTCTGAAAAGTCATTTAACATCTTCACACCTATTCCCTCTTCTGTGAAATTGGAGGTAGTAATATTCATCTCATAAAAGAAGTGACAAGTAGGATATATATGAATATGCTTTCTAAGTGTGAAGAGTTACACAGATCTAGGACTTTGTAACTATAAATTTTGCACTTGGGGTGCCCCAGGTAAAGCAGTTTGCATATAGCTGATGGCTTGGCTTACAGTTTTGTGGGGGTTTTTTCTGCTTGTTTTTTTAAGATTTTATTTATTTATTTGAGAGAGACAGAGATCACAACTAGGCAGAGAAGCAGGCAGAGAGAGAGAGAGGAGGTAGCAGGCTCCCTGCTGAGCAGACAGCCGGATGCGGCTTGATCCCAGGACTCTGGCAGAGGCTTTAACCCACTGAGCCACCTAGGTGCCCACCGTTTGTTCGTTTGTTTTAATGTGAAACTACTTTCTTTTATTGTTTATTATTTAATTTTATTTATTATTTTATTTATCTTTAATTTATGATTATTTATTTTATTATCTAGCCTAAACCCCAAGAGTGCCTTCCTGGCTGCTACTTCTTTTGTATTGAAAGTTCCTCTCAAAAGGAACAGTCTTTTGAAATGAAGTATTTTTAACCTCTCCTGAAACAAATGTTCATACTGGTAACCATGCTAACTATAACAACCAATAGTGTACTTTGTGCATATATATGATATTTTACATTTTTTCTAATGCATTTTTATAAGCACATTAACCTTGTGAAGGGATAAAGTAACTGGTTTAAAGGAATAAAATAACTGGTTCCCATGTTATATAAGTGAAAATTCAAATTCCAAGAGATTTCACTGAGAATAGTGTTTGGTATTTGTGAGTGCCACCTGTCTACATACATTACTGTCTACCCTTAGCAACTTTCAAATGTGCAATATAGTATTATTGACCATAATCACCAAGCTGTACATTGCATCCCATGACTTTATTATTTTATAACTGGAAGTGGTAACTTTTGACCCCCATCAGCCATTTCTCCTCAAAACTGTTGTTGGAGTGGATTTCTTTTTTATTGCATCAACTTACTGTTGAAAAAATATTGCAACTTCTATCACTGTAAATAAGCCTTAATACTTTCATAAGATTATGAGGTTTTCTCTTTGAATATTAGTGGATTAGGATGCATTTGACCATATTATTGCAGTCTTTTCTCATCCTTTATTATGTGTTCTAAAAGTATCTTTAATAACAAGGATACTGAAAATCATTTTCAAATTTATATTTATATTAAAAGTAAACAATGAAAAATTCTGAGTTTAAGGCACCTGAAAACATTTGATTATTTTATTTCACATTTATCATCTATAGTATTTTAGAATGAATTTACTTTAACGATTTTGACATCTCTATAAAAGTATATAAAAGTACTCTTACTTGTGTATATTGTTCATTGTTCAATAAGCTTTCATCAGAAGTATAGTTCATTTTATTTTTATTTACAGTGATTGAAATTAAAAAAAGAAGACAGAACCATTAAACTTCTGTTTTTGGAATGTAGTCTTTAAACAATATTAGAATGTATCGTATGCAAGAATAATATTCTAGAGATTATCTACCTTTCTCCCTGATTTTTAAGAATCTTAACTTATAAAGAACATTTAATATAATCATTTGTAACATGTAAAATTACTTTGAAAAGTTAAAGTTTTAAAGTCTTGCTGTTCACTGCAGAACAATGATGATAATGACTGCAAATATATTATTGGTATAGCATGTTTTGGTTTATATACCTTCTCACATATATTATCCCACTAAGTGAAAGGCTTTTTTGAGTTATTTTTGGTTAACATTGAGTAAGATATTTGGGACTCACAAAGGTGTATAATGTTTACAGCAAATGATCAGCTAATTTTCTTATATATGCAAAAATAATTAATATTTTTGTAAAAAATAATATGTAATATGTAAACTGGTTGGTGCACATATCTAGGTAGATAAGCAAAGAGGTGAATTAGTATAGTGTTCATATATTTTTTAATCTAGTCTATATGGACATAACCATTTGAAATCTCTGATTCAAGACCACTTTCTGTGTACTTTGATAATTGTAAATTTTTTTTAAAGATTTTATTTATTTATTTGACAGACAGAGATCACAAGTAGGCAGAGAGGCAGGCAGAGAGAGGGGCGGGAAGCAGGCTTCCTGCTGAGCAGAGAGTCCAATGCAGGGCTGAATCCCAGGACCCTGGGATCATGACCTGAGCCAAAGGCAGAGGCTGAGCCACCCAGGTGCCCCAATAAATTGTAAATTTTAACCTTTACAACTCAACTCATTAATTGCTAGTGATCTGTCTGTTGATATAAAACATTGATTGTTTAAATAATAAAAGATGTGTTAGTTGCTTTTCCATATCAGAATATTATAAGAATTCACATAACTTCTAAATGAATTTTATTATCTGAGCTGTAGCGATTAAAATAAAGTGTTGATAATAGGGTATAAAACAAGTTGACGAAGAAAGAAAGCAACACACACATATATATGTAATATATATGTTTCAAATTTGCCCTGACTTAATGACTGCAGATCAGAAATACTCCTTTTACAAAATATGCACATTTTACTCAATTTCATGATGTATACTTCTTTTATTGTTAATTATTTCTACTTCAAAAGTATTCCTGATATTTTTCTTTGATGAAGAAAAGATGAGGAAGAAATAACTCTAGGTTTTTATATCTTCTCATTTTATAAATACCTGAGATTGATTTATGAGGTTTTTTTTTTTTCCAAGGCATGATGTGAAAATCGTATGCCTTAACTGCAAAGAAACATGTATCTTATTTTGAGACATCACCTTGAAAAAGTTTTCTTTGTAAAAGGGAAGTGCTGCTATTTTTTGAAAGTCTGAATATACTAACATGCAAGGCCTCCTTGCAGCATATGCGTGAGAACGGCCACATAGACGCTGATGTTATTACACGGCTGTCTGACAATCACCCTCAGACATTAAATCCACACAAAAGAACTTTGGGGACATGTTGATCCTCAACATTAACTGTTATGCTAAATTGCCTAATAAGTATGGAATATTGACTTTTCTTAATCTTCCACTGATTGCACAGAATATATTCTTCAGCTTACAACATTCACTAATGAATCAATTTTAATTTAGGGACTAAATAAAATCTTCATTAAGGCCAACAAATGGTAGCCTCCAGTAAATACAAAGCATTTTCACAGTAAATCAAGCTAAAGTCTGCCCTCAATGCTCCTTATCCTGCCAGTATCAAAGAAGGATGCAGAAGTATATGGTCATATCAGAGAGTGAAGCATTTCTTCAAGAAGGTATAATGGCAAATACCAGCCACGAGGGACTGTATTTCTGAGATGAATAAACAAACACATTAAAAGGATAACTAGAATGTCTCATCCTATACAATTAGTGGCAATATTATAGTTGGAAAAAACCATTATTTTTTCTATAGAAATATCTACCTATCAATAAATGATCAAATCTAGACAATTTCTGAGTAAAATTGACCCTAGCAAACCCATTCTGAACTTGGGTGTCTTTTTCAAAATAAGAATCCGTTTCATTATATGTATATTTACCCGTGATTAAGTCTGCACAGCCCAGATTTGTTTAACCCAATTGCCACAAAAAATGCATAGTTTATATTTCTACTTCAGCAGTGGTTTTTGATTATTCTCTTTGGAGATTTAAAATTATTTTAAATTATAGGAGATTGGCATTGGTGAACAGCAATCTGTGAGGTTAGTGTAATTATTTATCTGAACAAAGGAACATGAGCATCAATTCTTAAAAAATAGTTTTACTTACAGTGTTAGTAATATATTCATATATATTAAAATTTACATATATTTTAATATTCAAATATTAAATTTTTATTGATTTTTTTTAAAAGTTTGGCTAAAAGCTTTTCCACATCGTATTTTCACTGCCGTTAAAATGGATGTCATGATAATTGGTGAATTTATTTTACAATTTCTAATAAAATTCTGTAGTCCTATTTTCTCAATTTTTTAAAAATAACAGCAGTTTGTGATTCCTACCAGAGTCCTTACCTGTGTTCACATTGGCAGTATTCTACGGACCAGTTAGTGTTGTTTAAACAGGATTTAACTTCTAACTCAAAATCGTACCATTTTCCCTGAAATGCTAAATTTGTTAGTAGGAGTCAACTGGATGAACTGATTTTTATTTCTAGTTTTTTAAGTGTACCACAGATATTTCCTTCAAAGGTCTAAAATTCTAAATTGACCAAAACCTTATGTAAAAATCTTTGTAACAAGAACCAAAATAAAATTAGCACTGGTGTTAGTAATGAGTTAACTTCCCATGAATTTATTATTTCTTTTCTCTTGGCTTCAGGTGCAATAACAGAACGCAGTGTGCCGTGGTGGCAGGTCCTGATGTTTTTCCAGACCCGTGTCCAGGAACCTATAAATACCTGGAAGTGCAGTACGAATGTGTCCCTTACAGTATGTATACTCCTGTTCTGTTCTTGTGAAAAGATACTAAGCATTATTTTGCATGCATTGACAAAGTCTTCTCTATGAAAGCATAAGAAGTATCATATTTTTTACATGTTTTTTTCAAAGACTGGCTAATTTGAATTTTTCAGGATCATATATCCGCCCACCACTGGAATAATTAGACGTTGCCTGCAGGATTCTGCAGCATCCATTTTGACTATACATTTCTGTATATCAAGACTCATTCTAAAAGTTTTCTTAATGCAAGAATATAAAATTTGTAGAAGAAAGTTGAAATGAATGACATGCCAATACTGCATCCTTCTAGGTCCAAGCAAATAGAAAGTGAAAATGAATAATATACTTACATATTATTATATTATGTAAATATTATATATAATATATATGGCTGTATATAACATTATATAATGTTAATGTTATATAACGATAGTGGCATAGAAATTGATAAACTTTAAGTTTAACAGAAGCAGTTATGTCTAATCTGTAAGTGCTGTCAACATTTTAAGGATGAGAAATATATTCACCCAGAAGGAACAAACTGAAAAGAAAACACAAAAATTACATGAACTAAAGCATTCTTCAGAATTTACCTCTTACAGCCTCAAGAAGTTTTCTTTGCAACTTTTCAGTCAGATATGGCATATGCCAACCACATATTTTTTCTTCAGGAATAATGAAAAATCAAACCATCAAAACTGGAGCATTTTTCTGACTTTTCTACCCAAAGGAAGAATCACCATTTCATAGAAATATTTTTGATCTGACTATTTATTATTCATGGGATTACTTAGTGAAGATCACTCAGGAAATCCTGTATTCTCACATTACATATTCAGTTCATCCCAAGAGTAGAAGACACTGGGGATCACCCATAAATCCCAGGTTCCAACTTCCTTTGACATCTCTGAAGAGAAGTATCTGGGGGTCCGCCAGTGTAGCTGTGCCAAGAGATAGTTCGAAGCTCGCCTCATTTCTGCTTATTTAAGAAGCAGCACATTATTCATAAACTGTAAGTGTGCATAATCTAATAATAGAGAGCAATTTGACCAGCAAGAAATGAATTGAAATTTTAAAGTAATAATGAAAGCAGTTGAGAGAAAATTTCATTTTTGTTTTATTTATTGTGTGATTCATTAGAGAAAGTTTATCTGGTGCAGTCTTAGAAGCTAATTTTCCTTGTTATAACAGAAATCATAAGCGTATTGGTTCTATTGAAATCTCCACTGAAGTTATGCTTCTGGTACACTGTTACCTCTAGGGATCCTTCTATGGAAAGATAAAGCTCTTACTGGCCAGTTATTATTCATTAGTGATATTTTAAGGTAATAATATTTGCCATTTGGAACTTTGTCAATTTTATTTAGATTATATAATAAGATCTTTGTGAATTATGTAGAATAGCTGTTTCCAAAGGCATTTTATAAAAATCCACCATAAGGAATACCTCATTTTTAAAGACAGTTTGAGGAAACTTTCAGTCATATTTTTGAAACATGAAGGCCGAAGTAGAAAATGTCAAGCTAGATTTTTTCACAATTTTTAAATATTAAAGAATTTCACAGCTGTCTCTTCAATTTTCTGTATTTCTTCAGAATTTCTTTGAGGACAGCTACTCCAAAATCCTCAGGCCAACTTATTTTGAAAAATCGTCTACTTAAATCATTTCAATATAAATAAGAATTTGTGCATACCCTTTGGCATAAAAGGAGTATGGTTTACCACATTATTTCCTTTCTCTTTTACAAATTTTCAGAGACGAATTATTTTATTTCTGCGTATCCTCTATATACAGGTTTCTGGTAATCCTTAAAATCTATGGATCACCTTAGATATATATCCATTATGTTAAAATATTCATCTGATTATTTTATTAAATATTAAAGTGCAGCCACTTGCCTGTTAACATACTGGTTTAAGTTACATGGGTTAGTATAATTGCCCTTGTTTGAATATCTTTAGTATGTTTCAGTTGAAAGTGTAATGTGTAATTGGGAATTCATTTAGTAAATTTAACATGATTTTAAAAGAAAAAAAAATACACAAGGAAGTATAAACCATGAAGTAAAGTATAGTGACTTATTTGAAAGGTAGATTTGTTTAGTGGGAAAAAACCGCTAGAGATCAGGAAGCCTGGGTTCAGAATATGGTCTGGTTACTTAACAGAAAAGCATAGGTCCTTAAACAAAGGTAAACTATTAAATTTTTCTTGATCTCACTTTATAGACATTCCCTGATCTGTAGTAAGTTGATTTAGATCAACACTAAGTTCTTTTTCTTATCCCTAGCATAAAATACAGACTTTTCCAATGCTGTTAAAAAAAAAAAAAAAAAAAAGAATCAATTACTTAAAATTGGCCACCATTTATTGGCACTTGCTACATCTTACTTACCACATGGGTTAAGTATTTGCATATATTATTTTATTTAATTTTCATTAAATCCTTCCTGTTAGGTATGAGTATCACTATTCTAACTGAAACTCAGTAGGATAAGTTAAAGTTTCATGTAAAATACAGAGTAGCTGGATAATGACATAGCCAAGATTTGAGCCTGTCTCTGATACCTGTTAAGGACACAGCGATAATTCTCCCCAGAGATTTTCTCCTCTGTATTTTCATGAGTTATCCAATCTTGTTTAACTCTTAAAATTTTCATCACTGTAGTTATGGCACATGGTAGAAGCAAATGCGTCAAGGGCCTGAATCTTTTTTTTTTTTTTTTAAGGTTTTATTTATTTATTTGTCAGAGGGAGAGGGAGAGAGAAACAGGCTCCCTGCTGAGCAAGGAGCCTGATGTAGGACTCGATCCCAGGACCCCGGGATCATAACCTGAGCCTAAGGCAGTCGTGTAACCATCTGAGCCAGGCAGACATCCAGCTGGACTCTTTTTGTTAGTTCTTTTGCTACTTAACTTTAAAGAGGTTTTTATGCCTTTCTTAAAACATCTGGTTCACTGCAAACTTTTATTTTCCCAATCACCCAAGAAAGCATAATGACAAAAAGGAGTTCAGCTATAAAACTTGTGCCCACAGTTTGGAATGAGACTCTTAGCTAAGTGGTAACTTAAGAAGTTACTTAAATCACCCATATTATAAGAGAAATCCTTGTATGTAATATATTTATTGAAATATCCCTAATGTGTTATTAGAAGGTAAACTTCAGACTTAGGATTCCTTGTTAGTATTTTAAATTTTTCTAATTGAACACCTCAATAAACAAATTATGTTAGGTTCTATTTGTTATACAGTTCAGTAATACCCATATTCATTTTTAATTTAAGACAAACTTCATTATATGTAAGTGATATATTTGATCTTTATGTTTTCTTCTTAATATTGAGATGTGGGAAAAATACTATTATTAATATTTTCTTTCTTTATATAGACTGTGTGTGTGTTCCCTTGGTAATATTTTTAAAGTGATACTTTCCCATGGAAAAATATAGAAAAATGAGAATATCAAAATATAGATAAAATATGCGGGAAACATATTAATATTAATAATATGTTAGCATAGACATAAAAATTCAGCAAAATTCTTTGTTTCACATCAGAAATGTGGAGTTAAAATATCCAAGATAAGCTTACAATATATTTTTTAAGCTTGCAATAATTTTTTGCAGAGGTTTTGGCGTCAGTAAATAGGTACATGGTTAAACAATGACAGTTTTAGAAGAACCTTAACCTGAATCAAATGGTATGACTTTTTTCTTTCTTTCTTTTTTTTTTAAGATGTTCATAGGAAAGAAAGTTTATAAAAATAGTGATTAAAAACAATTTTGTGAGGCCACTTTCTTTGAGTGAATCCTAAGTCTGAAGTTTACCTTCTAATAACACACTTCTCTGAATTGCTAAAGTTACATTTAATTTTTCCTAAATCTCAGCTTCTCCCTCCTGCCTGTATTTTCTTGTTTGTGTTCACAGATATCCTGTTTGTGACCATATTTGGGACAGATGAATCAATACGTTTCTCTGTTCCTGTCACACCTTAGCTGCAGTGTGACTTTTATAGCCTTCACATTTACTTTTGAGTTTGATTTTCCTCCTGAGTGTTTTGTTGTTGTTGTTTTTTTCCTCCTGGGAGATGACCCAGATATTCAGAGGTTAAACCTCAGCGTTTATCAATGCCACACTTTGGCTCCCTACCTTACTTTTTCGTGTCCCATTTCCAATTCCTTCTAGCCTGATTGGGGATTGAAATCGTGGCATCTTCAGGTAGAGTTTCCCTCATTTAGCTGGTTTACAGGGAAGATTTGTGTCAGGAGGAAAACAATAAAACAACTAACCACCAATGCAGAGTATTTCTGAGCAAAGAATCTTTACTTTGTATCCTGCTGACAATTTGTCTTTCTTCCAAGGCATACAATTTCACGCACATTACACTCAGAAAGTGCTTGTCTTTTCTCACAATCCTGCTTTTCTCTTCAGTTCTTTGTTTGTTCCTTTTAGAAATACAAACCACATATTACTTCTTCTAGCAACCTTTTCTTGGGGTGGATTTTCTTAAGAAATGGAGAGAGGGAGCACGCTATTTGGAGAGCTACTAGAAATGAGTGGTTTAACCGATCTTATGTTACACCACTTACAGATTTTCTCACCATTCACATCAGCCATCTGAAGTTACGTGCGATTGTCTATGGAAAAACATGCAAAATGAGTATTACTGGAAAATTAATATTTATAAACAATTACATATTCTATTAGTTTTTGTCTTTTTTTTACTCTAAGAATAAGCATTACACTTCAACATTTAAAACAGACAAGTGTTTATTTAGTTATAAATAACTAAATATATTTTTGCTAGTAATATTCAAATGAGTGCATATTTTAATATATGTATTCTTTGGTTCTTATTATGTAAAAAATACTTACATATTTTAAAACGCAAATGCCAAAATTAGCCCATAGGTTTACTTTTTAAGATGGCACAGAAATGTCAAGGTATAGGTTGATTGCTACTGCCTCAGTACATTTTTCAGTTTCTGAC